TGCTAGGACTTCCAATGGCATACCGAATAGAAGTGGCAAGAGTGAGCATCTTTGTTTTGTTCCTTTTCTTAGATGAAAAGTTTTACATCTTTCACCATTGAATATAATAGTAGTTGTGGGCTTTTCATGTATGGCCTTTATTATGTTGAGATAGTTTCCTTCTATTTTTAGTTTGTTTTAAGTCAGGAAAGCGTGTTGAGTCTTGTCAACTGCTTTTCTGCATCAATTAGCTAGATAATGTGGCTTTGTCCTTCAATTAATGTGCTTTATCAGAATGATTGAATTTCATATATTGAACCATCCTTGCATTGTGGGAATAACTCCCACTTTGGTGTGGTATAGAATTCCTTAATGTGCTGTTGAATTTGGTTTGCTAGTATTTTGTTGAGAACTTTTGTATCAATATTCTTCAGGAATATTGGTCTGTAGTTTTCTTGTAGTGTTTCCTTGTCTGGCTAATTTAGTATCAGCATTGCTGGCCTCACAGAATAAGTGTAGAAGCATTCCCTTTTCTTCCATCTTTGGGAAGAGTTTGAGGAGGATTAGTATTTAAATGTTTGCTAGAATTCTCCAGTGAAGCCATCTGGTCTTGGACTTTTCCTTGTTAGGAAGGTTTTTTTTTTTATTACAGATTCAATTTTCTAACTAGTTATTGGTCTGCTCAGTTTTTCTATTTCTATAGTATTTAATTTGAGTAGGTTGTATGCCCATTTTTATATTGAGTTACTTTTTACATTGTTAACCTGTGTTTCCTATATATTCTAAATACTAGATCTTTACCAGATATATGATCTACAAATATTTTCTATTCTGTGGATTGTCTTTTCACATTCTTGATAGTTCCTTGTGACACAAAGGTTTAATTTTAATAAAGTCCAATTTATTTTTTTTCTTTTGCTTATACTTGAGATATCAAATCTAAGAAACCATTGCCTAATCTGATGTCAGAAAATCTACACTTAATGTTTTCTTATAAGAGTTTTATGGTTTGAGCTCTTACCTTTATTCCTTTGACCTATTTTGAGTTAATTTTTATATATTGCATGAAGTAAGGGGCAAATTAATTCTTTTGCCTGTGAATATCCAACTGTCCCCTTACCATTTGTTGAAAAGACTATTCCTTCCTCCATTGAATGGTGTTGGTACTCTTGTTGAAAACCAATTGCCCATAAATATATGGGTGTATTTCTGGATTCTTAATTCCCATCAGTCTATATGTCCTTCCTTATGCCAGAATCACATAGTCTTGATTGCTGTAACTTTGTTAGTTAAGTTTTAAAATCAGGAAATGTAACTCCTCTGACTTGTTTTTCAAAAAAATGTTGGCTATTTGGTGTCCCTCACATTTCCATACAAATATTAGCATCAGCTTGTCAATTTCTGCAAGAAAATGCCGCTGGGATTTTGACGGTTGTATAGAATTTGTAGATCAGTTTTGGAATATTTACAAGTTTTGCATCACTATTTTATGTGTCCATATGATATATTGACTGCCTTTAAGTTTTCATCATGGATTGCCTAAGTGCTTGCTGTGGCTTCCTATATACCTTTAGTCTACTTTTCTTCCAACCACTTTTTCTTGCTGTTACCTGGATGTCTTATCTAAAAGGCTTAATTAAGATCCTTTAGTGACTCCTCAGAGCTTTCAGAATTAATTCACTCATTCAAATGTCTCTAATCCCTTAATGTGTCAGATATTATCCCAGGAATATAGCAGTGAACAAAAAAATAAATGCTCTCCTAGAGCTCAAGTGTGGGGAGATGTAATAAGTAAAATATATATTGTGATATATAATGAGAAGTGCCAGGGAGAGGGGAAAAGCAGGGAAGGGGACAGGAGAATGTGCAATTTTAAAAAGGGTAATCAAGGAGGGCTTCATTGAGATAGCTGAGTACCTAAAGAAATGAAGTAATGGGCTGTGCATACATCTGATGAAAGCTTGCAGGCATAGCAAATAGCAACCATAAAGGCTCTGAGTTGGCAGCATGTTTGAGGAACATCAAGGAGGCTAGCAGGCTGGAGATGAGGGAGTGAGGAGAGTAATAGGAAGTGAGATCAAGGGTAACAGGTAGTAGGGTGCCTGGCTGGCTCAGTCAGTATAGCATGAAACTCTTGATCTCAGGGTTGTAAGTTTGAGCCCCATGTTGGGTGTAGAGATTACTTAAAAAATAAAATCTTAACAGCAAATTGTGTGTGGTCTTATGGGCCATTGTTACTGCTCTGGCTTTTATAGTGAGGTGGGAAGTCATTGGAGAGTTTGAGCAGAGAAATATCAGTTCTGTACCTGAGATTTAACAAAAGTGCCTTACCTGATAGGTTGGGGAAAGACTGTGTATGTGTGTGTGGGAGGGATAAGGTGAAAGCAGGAGACGAGTTGTAGTAGCCAGCCTCTAAAACATCTCCAATGATCCCTGCCTCATGAGATTCACACCCATGTGTAATCCCTTCCACTTGACTGTGGGCTGGACCTAGTGACTTGCTTCTACTGAGTAGAGTATGGCAAAGTGATGGGATATCATTTCTGAGATTGTTATAGTCTCCATTTTGCATGTTCTTTCTTGCTCTCTCACTTGCTCACTGTTGGAAACTGGCTGCCATTTTGTGACGTGCCTTTAAAAGAGGCCCACGTGACAAGAAACTGAAGGTGACCTCAGGCCAGTGAGGACCTGAGGCTCTTGGTCCAACAACCCATAGAGAGCTAAATATTGCCAACAACCACATCAATTAGCTTGGAAGCTGATCCTCTCTCAGATGAGCCTTCAGATGGGACTACAGTTCTGACTAACAGCTTGACTGTGGCCTTGTGAGGTACCCACATTGAATCTGCATTTAGATTCTGGGTCCCTCAAAACTGTGGGGTAATGCTTGTTATTTTAAGATGCTGAAGTTTTGGGATAATTAGTTACAGCAATAGATCATTTATAAGAAGTCAACTAAGAAGTTAATGCAATTATCCTGATGAGAGACGATGGTAACTCAGGCCAGGGTGGAAACAGTGGAGCTGACAAAAAGATATATTTTAAAGGTGGATCTAACTGGATTTTCTGAGGAACTAGGTATAAATGAAGGGAAGAGTGATGTCATAGAGGAGGAGGGGTTGTCCTAGCGAAGCAAGAAAGAGCTCAAAGATTATTCCAAGGTTTTTGGCCTGAGAAATTGGACGGGTGGAATTGCTATTAATCAAGATTTAGAAGATATGGGAGCAACAGGTTTTGTAGAAAAAGATTAGGAACTCAGTTCAGGGTACGTGTTTATAATGCCTATATGAGCCAATGAAATTCTGAGTAGGTAGATGAGATCACCAAAAATGAATGTGGACAGAAAAGAGAAGTTCAAAGACTGAACCCTGAGACACTCTAATGTTAAGAGATCAGGTTAGTGGGGGAGGAAATAGCACAGAAAACAGATGAGCGACCAGTGAGGTAGGAGGAAAAACAGCTAAGTGTTGTAGGAGCCAAGTGGAGAGATTATTCTGAGGAGGAGGGAGTGATAAACTGTCAAAGGCTGCAGATAGCTCAAGAAAAACAAGAATTACAAATTGAATATTGGGTTTAGCAATATGAAAGTCATTGTTGACCTTGATGAACAGCTTCGCTGGAGTAATGGAAAGAGAATGCTTGATTGAAGTGCATTCAAGAGAGAATTGGAGAAGAGGAGTTGGGATAGTGAGGACAGGCAACTCTCAAGTAGTTTTGCATCAAAGAGGAGCAAAGAAACAGTGTAGTAGCTGGAAGGGGAAGAGTAGATTTTGTAAAAATCGGAGAAATTACAAAATGGTTGTATGAGAAAGATGCAGTAGGCAGAAAGATGGATGCTATAGGAGAGGGATTTGCTGGTGAGTTGTCCCTGAGTAAACAAAGTTCTTAACCATTTAACTTAGTTAAACCAGCACCCTCTGCATACTACTCTCTGCCTGCATCCCAGTTCATGTGCACCCTTTGTGTAGTTGGGTTTTTGCACCTTGAAGGCTTTTCATGTATTTTCCTTAGTGTGCATTTTCCACTTTCTGTACCCTTTACTTTAAATGATTCCTAGTAGTTTTAAAAATAACAACAGAACAGCTTGAGTGTCATCAGCCTGGAAGGCTTTCTCTGATGCCTCAATCTGATTTAGATGGTTTTCCTCTGTGCTCCTGTACCCTTTCCTTCTATTTATTCTTTTTATAGCACTTACTACAGTACATGGATACTACTTGTCTATCTCCAATTAGACCATAAGAACAATATTGATAACAAGGACTGTGGCTTATTTGACTCTGAATCCTTGGCACTTAAGTGTTTCACACATAGTGAATATACACTAAATCTTTGAAAGAAGAAATTTAAGAATCCTCTAAGTTTCTTTAGTTCTTGTGGTAGATAAAAGCTCTAACATGCAAGATTGTTGACTTAGATTTGAAAATTATATCGATTAATCAATTAAGAAGAACATATATAGTTCTGATTGTTTGTGGATTCTGTATTTGTGAATTTGCCTACTCACTAAACTCTATTTGTAATCCCCACATCCATACTTGCAATACCTAGGCAGTCATTTTATGGCCATGTACAGAGTGGCAAAAATTTGAGTTGCCTGTCACGCACATTCCTACTTGAGGTTAAACAAGGCGATGCTCTGCTTTCATGTTTTAGCTCTCATACCTTATACAAATGTCCTTTTCTTGATATATATGGTGCCACGGTTTTCATATTTTATGCTTTTTTTTTGGGGGGGGGGTAGTGATTTTGCTGTTTAAAATGGCCACAAGTGTAGTGCTGAAGTGCTGTCTTGTATTCTAAGTGCAAGAGGCCGTGATGTGCCTTATGGAGACGATGCATGCATTAGCTAAGCTTCATTCAGGCATGAGTTATAAATTCTGTTGGTTGTGAGTTCAATGTTAATGAATCAATGATACATATTAAAAATAAAAATTGAGGCACTTGGCTGGCTCAGTTGGTAAAGCATGCAACTCTTGATCTCGGGATCATGAGTTCAAATGGGTGTAGAGCTTACATTAAACACACACACACACACACTATATATATATATATATATATACACTTTGTATATATACATACACTTTATATATATAGTGAATATATATAGATATAGATGTACATTATATATATGTTAAAGTGTCTTTAAAGAGAAACACACAAAAAGCAAGGTTATATATTGATTGGTTGATGAAAATGTAACCAGAGGCTGATTTCTCTAGGAACAATGGTTCAGTATTCGCAGCACCTTTATAACTATGAATGAGAATTTACTGCACTTTGGCCTCATTCTGAAGTTGCTGGTGAGATTCTTCCCACTGCTTTCTACAGATGGGAAGTAGGTGAATTTAGTCATTTGTAAAGTAAGCCTAATCAAAATGACTTTTTTTCATAACTTGCTATTATGAAAATCTGGTCTGAAGCTACCCCACTTGGTCTGAGTGGGAAAGACAGTACAGTAATTCCAAGGAGATCTATCATCCTGGAGATATGTTGGGTAGCCATGAAGTTCTCCTTTTACAGGTGGGTCAGACATTAGTGCCTAAGATGTTCCCAAGACTGTACAGTTGCCCATAAGTTGTGGTTACCTTTGGCTTCCCAGACCCTAGAAATCTGGAGTCATTTTATGCTTGATAAATGAATTGGTAATTATTTTCTCATAAAAAGAGAATTAGTGTTGTTGCTGAGATTTTGAAAAACATTCCAAGTATTAAAAATGTAGCTTTTTTGTTGTTGTTGAAATAGCCCTCCTCTTTTGGGTTTTGCCTCCATTTTTTGAGCACTCACTAAGCTTTATATTGTGCCAGGCACTTCATTGACACTTTACTATCCAATCTTCACAACACTATGAAATGCAGGTATTAATTCCAAGGCCATAAACATTGTTACAGTTTTTCAGTTTGTAGAACCTGGTTTCTATCTTTACAATCAACCCTTGAATGAGAAGTCTTAAAAATATTGAAAGAACTAGAACTCTACTGCAGAATAGCTAATTCATATTGCATTTTATGTGTAATTATTAAATATTCAGTACTTTTAAAGCAAGATTATTGGAAAAGAATGGATGGATTTTACTTCTTATTAAGATTTTTTATGAATTCAACACAGTGAGAACACACTGCTTTTGATATGTAGAATAGAGATATCACAGGATGCTTTCAACTATGTCCCATAAACAGCTTTAGAGGTGGTTCTATGAATAGCCAGTTTTTTTTTTTTAATTTTTTTTTCAACGTTTATTTTATTTTTGGGACAGAGAGAGACAGAGCATGAACGGGGGAGGGGCAGAGAGAGAGGGAGACACAGAATCGGAAACAGGCTCCAGGCTCCAGGCTCTGAGCCATCAGCCCAGAGCCTGACCCGGGGCTCGAACTCACAGACCGCGAGATCGTGACCCGGCCGAAGTCGGACGCTTAACCGACTGCGCCACCCAGGCGCCCCTGAATAGCCAGTTTTTTAATGTGTACATCTCAATATTAGTTTAGAGACGTGGCAATGTTGAAACTGAAGATGTGGTTGTATTTCCACGGTTACATTCTGGTAAGTATCAGAAAAACAGATAGGGCCTTGATTCCACTACTGATCATTGTAAACTTGAGGGTAAGTGTGTTTCAATTCAATCTGTTTTTACATCTGTCAAATGAGGGTTCCTTCTATATCAACAATCTCTGATTCCATAATGCCTTCATGTGAAACATAGGCAACAAACTATCTCCAATCTGTTGGATCGTTCTCTGGTGGAAGAGATGTTATTGAGTAACCTGAAGTGTTAAATAAAACCTAGCTCCACATACACTGTGGCAAAGTCCATCAAAATCTGTTCTTCCTACTTCCATAGTTCCTTGTAGCTGGCTCATGGTTACCTGTCTGGGGACGTTGCTTGGTGTAGATACATAACTAATTTCTTACCAATAGAATAATCAGATGTGATGTGTCTTAGTTCTGGATTAGTGCCTTAACATCATTATTTTTCCACATTTTCTCTTTATGTCAATTAGAACCCATGTCAACTCAACTTCAGCCATGCAGGTGGTGATAATGTCCCAGGATGGCAGATCAACAGGATGAAAAATGTGGATCCCTGAATGACTTCATGGAACAGGGCTAGCTGCTGACTGGAAGTCTCCACAGATTGTAATCGCAGAATGTTATACCTCTTCTCTTTAAGCCTCTTTATTGTTGTTGGGTGGCCGCTCCAGTGGCCTTATATAACCACTGTCTGCACTGAGTGTGAAAGACATTTTCCTAAAGGAAAAACAATTTTGAATTGGATACTCACATGCTTATTTCTAGATTTATTAACAAATCCGTAACTTGCTTACAGACACGAGGAAAAGAATGCTTAGTTCACTGGCTCAGATTCGGTGTATTTGAATTTTTTAGCTTGTTTTTAATGTAACCGCTTGGTCCTACTTCTAGAGATTCTGAATTGTTCAGCAGAGCTGGAGCTCCAAAAGAAAAGGAGCCAGCCACATGAAGACCTAGCAAAGAAGAACATTCCATGCAGAGAGAACAGGACTGCAAAATCCTTGAGGGATGAATGGATTTGGTAAGTTTGAGGAACAGAAGGGAAGGCAGTAATGTGGCAGCTCATTAGGTAAGAGAGAGTGACGTAAGATGAGAACAGAGGGGCAGGCAGGATACACATCACATATTATGATTTTGTGAGCCAGCACAAGGAGTCTGAATTTTAAAGTCCATCGGGATGTCTTCTGAGATTTTAAAATAAGGAAGGGAAGCATTTGAGTTTTGCTTTTAAAATATGACTCTAGGGACATCTGACTGGGTCCCCTAGAGTGTGTGACTCTTGATCTCAGGGTCATGAATTCAAGCCCTATGTTGGTCAAAGAGCCTACTTAACCAAAAGTAAAAGAGGACTCTGTTTCCTGTATGGAGAATGGTTCCCAGGTTGATAAGAGATTAGTGTCTAGACTTGAGGTGATGCTGGTTTGAACTGATGTGATAATGGTAGAAGAGAGGTGGGCAGATTAGGGATATATTTTGAAGGTGGGATCAGAGAATTTAATGATAGATGACTGACTATGTCAGGGGAGAGAAGGAAAGACATTCTCAAGTGGTTGTTTTTATTGTTGTTTATTTTGAGAGCGAGAACACTCGCAGGTGAGGGACAGAGAGACAGCACAGAGCCTGAAGCGGGGCTTAAACTCATGAACCATAAGATCATGATCTGAACTGAAATCAAGAGTTGGATGCTTAACCAACTGAGTCACCCAGGTGCCCCAGGAAAAAAAATTTTTAATTGGAACAGTTGTGTGGATGATGCTGTCATTAACTGTAATGGGAGAAAACTGGATTAGAAATGGGTAAAAAAATCAAGAATTCTGTTAGGGTTAGACATGAAATTTCTTATTCTCTCAAAACAAGTCAAAATAAGTAATGCCTCAAAGTATAGCCAGATCTTTTTCATGTTTCTTGTCTGGATTCTGTGAGCACTTTTGGGCAGGACAATTCTGTACTGGATCTGTACATTTTACCCCAGGAAGTGAATTATCAGTAGATTCCTTCCTCCCCAGTGTGACAATCAAAAATGCACACATTTTACTTTATTTTTTTAAAGGAAGCTCTGTGCCCATCATGGGGCTTGAACTTGCAACACTGAGATAGAGAATCGCGTGCTCTACCTACTGAGCTGGCCAGGCACCCCACAAGATGCACACATATTTTTTTTCCTTTTTTAAAAAATATAATTTATTGTCAAATTGGCTTCCATAAAACACCCAGTGCTCATCCCAACAGGTGCCCTCCTCAATGCGCATCACCCACTTTCCCTTCTCCCTCACCCCCTATCAACCCTCAGTTCTCAGTATTTAAGAGTCTCTTATGGTTTGCCTCCTTCCCTCTCTGTAACTTTTTCCCCCCTTCCCTTCTCCCATGGTCTTCTGTTAAGTTTTTCAAGATCCACATATGAGTGAAAACATATGATATCTGTCTTTCTCTGACTGGCTTATTTCACTTAACATAATACCCTCCAGTTTCATCCATGTTGCTGCAAATGGCAGGATTTCATTCTTTCTCATTGCCAAGTAGTATTCTATTGTATATATAAACCACATCTTCTTTATCCATTCGTCAGTTGATGGACATTTAGGCTCTTTCCATAATTTGGCTATTGTTGAAAGTGCTGCTATAAACATTGGGGTACAAGTGCCCCTATGCATCAGCACTCCTGTATCCCTTGGGTAAATTCCTAGCAGCTCTATTGCTTGGTCATAGGGTAGTTCTATTTTTAATTTTTTGAGGAACCTGCACACTGTTTTCCAGAGCAGCTGCACCAGTTTGCATTCCTACCAACAGTGCAAGAGGGTTCCTGTTTCTCCACATCCTCGCCAGCATCTACAGTCTCCTGATTTGTTCATTTTAGCCACTCTGACTGGCATGAGGTGGTATCTCAGTGTGGCTTAGATTTGTATTTCCTTGTTGATGAGTGATGTTGGGCATCGTTTCATGTGTCTGTTGGCCATCTAGATGTCCTCTTTGGAAAAGTGTCTATTCATGTCTTCTGCCCATTTCTTTACTGGATTATTTATTTTTTGGGTGTGGAATTTGGTGAGTTTTTTTATAGATTTTAGATACTGGCCCTTTATCTGATATGTCATTTGCATATACCTTTTCCCATTCTATCAGTTGCCTTTTAGTTTTGTTGATTGTTTCCTTTGCACACATATTTTAAAATGCATTTGGCAGGGTAGTTCTATTCCAGGTTGTACCTTTTGTGTACCTTTGTTAGTGCAAGTGGTCTTTATATTCCTATGTGTGTGTTTTCTCAAGCAATGAACACTACAAGTACAACTTATACCATAAGTTCTGTAAATTTTTTTTTACATAAAAGTTCTTATAAAAGATTTTGCATTATGCATATGGGCACTTTGTCCAAGCCAATTCATTCTATTATTCTCATTGTTAATTATCTGTCTTATACCACCACTGTGAGTCCACAATTACAAGACACCTAAAATATTAGAAAAGGTACCATATAAAAATCACAATCTAGTGACATTTGCTAGTCTTTTTGCAAGTACAGACTTGGAATTAAAACTGTTAGA